GCATTCTGTGTTGGACATCATTTGCACAAGTTGTATCTCTTCTTTTACACCTAAGAGGCCAAGACTTTTTTGCCTATAAAAGGGAAGGCCATTAGTTTATTTTAGACACACCAACAAGACTTGAGTCTTCCTTTCTTCCTTTATTAAGAGTGTTTTGTATGAGAGTTAAGTGTTGGGAAGCACTTGTGTGAACCCTTTCTTTGGAGTGATGTTGTGAGGTTATTCCCTTAGGGTATTTGGGATTAATTAGAGTATTTACTCTAATTTTGTACTCTCTTTTATACTCTTATTGTTATAGTAAATTGCCCCTCTCCGCTTGTGGACGTAGGTCACTTTGACCGAACCACGTTAAATTTGTGTCTTCTTTATCTACTTTAATTGTCGTTGTTATCAACTTTCATTGTCTTTGTTATTGCCATTATACCGTTGTTTGGCTAAATTCCGCACTACCCGGATTCCCGATCCTAACATAGAGTTACATCAGCATTCACGTCTCGTGACGAGGAGATTGTATTCATTTTGAACTTAAAATCAGGCAAGTTATGTTTGTGTTATGATATCATTAGAGAACATTGGAAACAATCTGAAATCGAGGGGCTTCCTAAGGAGAGCTGCATCAGAGGCATCTATAAATACGCAGAAAGACTAGTTATGTAAAAAGTATCTTTTCCATTTTAGAAACGAATTTTTGTTCATAATTTCTTTTACTAGTACATTTGATTATGAAACAAACTTTTGTTCCTGATGGTTTAATTGTGAGATAATTCGGTTTTGCCCATCCTGCACCCACCCCGAGTATATGCTTAAACAGGAATCACACAAGAATATATTAGAAATATCCATGATGCTAACGATGAAAATTATGAAAAATCCAACAGTGCAAAAAAGTCAGACCACAACCAACAAGAAAACAAGACAACGGCCAAAATATACTACTACATGTACAAAACATTAACGCTATTTTGTTCTATGAAGTGGCAAAAGTGAAGTGAATAGAATCTTTCAGACTTTCTTCCTTGTGGTGAACTAAACCTGCAATTGTTTGATATAGGTAGAAATAACAGAGATAGGTTACCTTAGATATGGGATAAGCTAACAACAACAACAACAATTACAAACTCAGTGTAGTTCTACAAGTGGATTCTGAGGAGGATAAAGTGTATCTATACTTTACCCCTGCCTTTAAAAAGGTAGAGAGCATGTTTCCGGTAGACCCTCGGCTCAGGAAGGAAAAAGGGAAGGGGCAATAACAAGCAAAAATTTGACAAACGAAGCGAAAATACAAAACTAAAACTAAGTAATGCAATCAGAAAACCGAAACAAGGCAGCAACAAGTAATTACAGCAACTAGGGATAAAACACGAAGGACACTAAGTAATGTATCAAAGCTACTGTGACAAATGATAAATGCATTTTACCGGATGTTAACCATATAATTTCTCTCATAAAAACATATAAATTATCATGTTTCTTTCATATTCTTAACTTTATTTTGCAGGAATAATTATAGAAGAATTGTTGTGCGCAGCATGAAAAAAGAAAAATAAATATTCAAGAAAAATAAATATTCAAGAAAAATACAACAAAGAAGTGTAAGATCGAGTTATGATTCATTACTGTCGTGATAATGCACCAAGTCTCAATTTGCCATGATGAAATCGTCGAAATCTAAACTTAGAATGACAGAATTCTCATCTCTGCAAATTCAAAATCTAGATTTGCCATGAAAATCTAGAACCAAATCGAGAAGTCGAATTCTCATCTCTGCAAATACAAAATCTAAATTTGCCATGAAAATCTTGCACCAAATCGAAGTCATCGTGAAATTTTCTTATATAAGAAGAAGAAGAAGATGATGATGATGATGATGATGATGATGTTGGCCGATCAGAGGAGGGTATGAGAGTGTAGAGAAAGCTTAGAGATAGAAGTCTGAATCCAAGTTCTTAATAAGCTTCTTTGTTTTATTTCTTTCACTAGCTAGTATCGAGTTATCTTTTCTTTCAAATCATAATAGTGGTTTAGTTGTTGTTTCTAAATAAATTTCAGTGTAGGAAATTACTCTAGTTCCTGCTTTTAATTAAATAGGGGAAATTATTCTTCTTGAATATTTCTTTCTATTTTTTTATTTAATGGACAAGAATATTTTCATTGTAAATACTAATTCTAGTATGGAGTAACTTTTCTTGTGTTGGGAGAAAGACAGATCTTAATATTTCTATATAATAGTAGTTATTATTCCTCAAATTCATATGCTTGAGCCAAAAAAATTTATTTAACTTTTATCTGTTTTTACAGTTAGATGTTATTTAATTTATTAACATCTATCGATCTTGTACTACATATTAACTGTTTATTAATTCTGTAATCGAGAGAGGCAGAAGAAATAATATAGTTAATTGTAATATTCATTGTTGTTAATATTTATTCAGTAACATTTGTCTCTTTTATGTTATAAATAATTTTACACTTATCTGTAATCGAGAGAGGCGAATAGTGTAATAATGAGTTATAACAAGTAGGGTAACCGAAAGGGATTTACTAACAAGAGCATGTTTTAGTTAAATCATATATTTATGGTTCTTTAGTATTACTATTTTGAAGATTAATTTGTATAATCGAGAGGAGAGCAATTAATTATTCAACTTGAGTAATAATATATATTTGTAATCGTGAGAGGCATTTATACATTTTTGAGAAATAAAAATTGAAGAATAATAATTCTACTATATATTAAAAATATTAAGTGAAGTCAGGATCCCAACACCTTTTTATTAAATTTGTGAAAAAATAAAATATTTTCTATTGCTCTATTCGTGCATTTTTAGTTAGTTAATTCACAACTCAACTCTTTCTGATTTTCTCAAATAGTAATTAAAACAAGAAACGTCTGTAGAATAGATAAACCAATCTTTGTGGGTTCGACATCTTTCTATACTATTATTTGAGAGAGTACGAGTTAGAATTTTATATACACCAGACACTCCCAACAAACAAGGACAACACTCGGCTACCTAACCCTCTACCTTTATTCTCAACATCTTCGTGGTCATGTCCTCAATCAGCTGGATATCTCGCCTAATCACCTCTCCCCAAGACTTTTTCGGCTTGCCTCTGCCTCTTCGTTGGCCCTCCAATGCTAGCCTCTCTCGCCTCCTCATCGGCGCATCGGCGCATCGGTGCATCTCCTCTTAACATGCCCGAACCATCTAAGTCTCGCCTCATGTATCTTATCCTCCATAGAGGTCACACCCACCTTATCCCGGATAACTTCATTTCTAATTCCATCTAACATGGTATGCCCGCACATCCATCTCAACATCCTCATTTCAGCCACCTACATCTTATGTGAATGGGAGTTCTTGACTGGCCAATATTTTTTCCCATACAGCAAAGTCAGGTTAACCACCGCCCTATAAAACTTACCTTTTGGTGGCACATTCTTGTGACACAGAACACCAGAAGCAAGCTTCCATTTCATCCATCTCGCCCCAATACGGTGTGTGACATCCTCGTCGATCTCCCATTCCCTTGTATAACAGACCCACGGTACTTGAAACTTTCTCTCGTAGGAATGACTTGTGAATCAAGCCACATGTCTTCGTCCACTTTCTAAGTCGCGCTACTGAACTTGCACTCCAAGTATTCTGTATTTGGTCCTGCTCAACTTGAAACCTTTAGTCTGCCTTCAAACCTCTAACCTCTCGTTAACACCACTGCGAGTCTCACCAATCGGTACAATGTCATTTGCAAATAACATGCACCATCGCACCTCCTCTTGAATGTGTCGCGTGAGGGCGTCAATTGCCAGGGCAAACAGAAATGGGCCTGCCTCTAAAATACAAGATGAGGTTTAATAGTGTATGTTATTTGCGGACGGTATTCTGATTATAATTGGCGAAATCAGCGAGGGTATCAATTAAAAGTGTAAACTATGGAGAAGCGCTCTAGAGAGAAGATCTTAAAATAAGTAGAACATGTGTGGTACAAGTTTAGTCAAGATAAGAAGAGTGAAAGCATATCGGATTATTGTGCCTAAATATAGATAATTTAGATATTTACGCTCGTTATTTCTACAAGATGAAATTATAGATAAAGATGTCACACATAAAATCAAAATCAGATGATAGAAATGGAGACGTGATACACGGGTGTTTTGTGATAAAAAGTATGCCTACCAAAGTGAAAGGTAATTAAGTTCTATGGAACAGTTATAAGACCAGCAATACTATATGAGAGTGAATATCATAGAGATGTGGATTCTAAGGTAGATATGTCATCATATAAGATTATACAAAATTAGAAATAATCACATTTGCGAGAAGGTTCAAATAACATATATGGAGGATAAAATGATCTGTCGAACACCAGATGCCTCTGCCCCTAGGTGTAAAACCATAGTAGTGAAAGTGTTAAAAGAGGATGAGTCTGACCTAACATCACATGGAAAGCGTTGTTTCGAAGTACATCATAAGTTTAGATCTCTCACTCAATAGTTGGACTATTCCCACTTTTGTTAAATAAATTCTGGAGATATTTTCACCAGTTGGTGGTGATTCAATAATGTAAAGCAAAAGCTAAAAGACTAAAGAGGCAAATGCTAAAAGACTAAAGATACCTTCAAATAACTGATTGAGCTTCTCCTATTAAGTAGAAAATCTAACACTCAAAGCATCACAGCTCAAGTTTTCGAAATAACTTGGCTAAATCAAAGCAAAATGAGTTTAGTTAGGGTATTTCAGTAGTGTAAACAGCAACATTAGAGAAAACAGCTTAAGAAAAAGGAAGAATTCAATCATTTAAATGAAACTTGCATTGCCATATTTTATCCTTTCAAAATCCCAGCATCCATAATTTGACACATTGGATCGCGTACNAAATTTTGGAAGCAACATATTTGATGTGCCTCTTTTGATCCTTTCAAAATCCCAGCATCCCTAATTTGACGCATTGGACCGCATAATAGGTGCTTCCATCTTTAACTAGAAAGAGAACAGGCAAAAGCATTTGAACTGCACTCTGGATATCCATTAGCACGATATAGATACAATCTTCTGTACAGAATAAGCAGTTTGATCTTCATATATACAAGCTATTACTACAACCTATAAAAGTTCTAACGATCAAGAACATCAATAGCAGACCAGCTCTATCAAGGAGATGATCGGTTAAAAGGGTTCCTTCCAAAGGCGGATAGTGGGAAAATGCAATATCGCTTTCTTCATTCTTCTAGCTAGTCATTGAACACCATGCTATCTACAATATAGGATCGACAAACTGATGAAAGAACAGCAACAGGGGCAACTTGTTTCAGGAACCTAGTGATGTAGTCTAGACCGTGTCATCAAGACAGCAGGATTATAATAAAAGGGAAACACAGTAACAGTTCGCCAATACTCGCCCTTCATCTGCATGAAATAAAATATTAGTCAGAATCAGCAGAAGGTTAGGTAGTAAGCTGCTTTGAGCGACAACTGTAGGCCAATATCTTCATAATCAAAATCTTTTCCCTAGCAGGTTGCTTCCCTGACAAAACAAAGGTATCAGCGTATGCACTATGATTTCCAGAACCAGTAACTATCGCGTAGGTTAATCAATATATTATGAGTTTCGGTTAAGCAAACAACAAATGGAAGTGGATAAAATCATTGAAGTAGAACTGAAAAGGGTATATGATTAAAAATAAAAACTCTGAAAGGGTATACAATAACAAGACTGACTAAGATCCATAACTATGATTTCCAGCTGGAAAAAGGAGGACAAGTGATTTTTTTTTAAACAAGAGAGGAAAGGAGTGTGATATCTAGCTAACATTGTATGCATTGCAAGAAGTAACAAGGATGACCTTCTCCATGATTTAGTTCAACAGCTCTAAATGAAAAAGTAGGTAAATTCAGTATCTTATCTTACTTGACTGCAGGCATTAGCTAATACAATATAAACAACACTAACGGGTCATGGTCGCATTGTCCAAAATGAATACAATAAAGCTCCTTTTATGTTTTATCAAAATGGACAAACATTCATTTGAGCCAAAACATAAATGCACTGCATGGAGCCAATGTTTCCCCCCAACAAGAACAACGAATCTTATTCAAAATCCCTGGAGGTGCCAATCATAAGCAGTATCGTTTACAATCAAAACAAGACATGACAGGAGGTGCCAGTACCCAACAAAGTTGCACCTCCGGACACCTTACAGGACATCAAAAAGTAAAAGACAAAAAACTATCAGCAAGCAAGTTTAATTTATCATCAAACACAATAATTCAAGATAAATTGAAAGAAATAAAGCAAAAAAAGAAAAGGGAACATCATACTGTTTCTGTGTATTAGTATGACAAGAAGCATTACTCTACGTCGACAAAAGTAGCTATTACTTCTTTTTACAACCGAGAAATTCCCAAAGGCCAGTTGGCAAACGGTTCAAGACCACCGTTCCGTCCCTCTAACCTTCTCCATTTAAATACCACGCTTTTGTCGGCAGTAAATTCGAACTCATGACATGCTCTTAACCCACACATCGCGCTTTGTGCTATTACCAGTTTACCACGGAGTGAAAGCTCCGGGAGTAATTATCTATTACTAATACATTAGCAATATTTCTAATTCCTTGATTTGTTGATATTATAGTTTATCCATAATCTACCACTTATGTGAGCTTCCTACTATTGAAACTTCCAATCAATAAGATTAACTAACACTGATCAACATGTAATACGATTCTTATAAGAGCATTTATTAGAGGCAAAATTAGAATATCAAGATAAAAGTTTCCAAATATATAGGGCGTCAAAGAGACCAAAAAACGCAAAAAATGTATCATGATACCTAGTTTGTTTCCCCTGCACAAAAAGTATAGATTTTGTAGGCATTTAAACTTTATGAAATAAATGTAACTTGAAGGCATTCGTCTATTTTATGAGTAAAATCATTTTGAAACTAACCAAAACAGGAAGAGGATTATATAAAATGGAATGGTGAGAATAGTATTTAGCAATCATATACATGTGCACACTCATTCCTCATCAAGCAAAGATCTTTGTTCTTTAAAGTAGGAAAACATAAAATTATGTATCGACCTCTATGGAAGGGCACTGGGTGAGGTGGGATAGGAAAAGACTTGGTCGAACTCTTAGCTGTGAACCGCCAAGGTGGAAAAAGAATTCATCATCTTCAAATGAGAGAGAAGAGGTAGGTGGACCACTTAAAACTTTTCAAGTTTAAGGTTTTTACTTATGGAATCTTATTGATATTCTCTTAATGACTTACTCCCTCCGTTCCAATTTATGTGACGTAATTGGATTCGGCAACATAGTTTAAGAAAAAAAAGAAGATTGTTGAAACTTGTAGTTTTAAAAGCTTAAAGGGTAAAAACTCTTTTGAGGCTTCAAGTTGTGCGGTTATAAAAGTCTCATTAAGGGTAAAATGGGTAAAAGGAAAAGTTTAGAGTTACTCCTCTATGTGACAGAGTTTGACTCGATACGGAGTTTAAGAAGAAGAAAAATAGACTTTTGAAACGTGTGGTATTACAGGCTTAATGGGCAAAAGCTTTGTGGGGCCATAACGTTTGTGTAGCTATAAAAGCTTTTCATTAAGGGTAAAATTAAAAGTTTAAAGTTAAATTGTTTTCAAATATAGAATGTGTCATTCTTTTTAGAACGGATTAATAAGAAAAGTGGTCACATAAATTGAAACGGAGGGAGTAAATTGTTTCCAAATATAGAAATGTGTCATTCTTTTTTAAACGGACTAATACGGAAAGTGTGTCGCATAAATTGAAACAGGGGTATATTCTGCTTTTCATTTATAATAATTGGTGTAGAGAGATGAGGCAAAGAAGGAATTGATAGAGTGCGTCGAGAAGTTGAATACCTTCTTGATCGAGAAAATGTCCTTGCTTGTAGTTCTCTTTTTTTTTCGAGATTGGGTTGGTGTTCAGTTCTTCCTTCAGATGTTAAGTTAACATCTAATGAAAACAATGTTATTGGCAGGCGATATACAATACCTAATTTGGAAATACAATAAACAATTGAAAATGATGAAAAAGGGACTAAACATTAATGGAAGGAAAGAAAGAGAGTCAGCAAATTGGGCCAGGGCAGGGCAAAGTTGGGCGAGGTGGAGTGGGGCGTTAGCAGGGAAAGCATCCCAGCTGACCCTGTGTCATTGTCATACCTATCCTCCTTTAATGGTGTTTAATAAATTTTACTCTTTAAACTTGAGTTTGTTTGTGAAGGTGATACAAAAGGAACAGTTTTTTCATAAAGATTGAAGTGAGTGTCAAGGCAAGTTCTTCCCCCCCACCCTCTTTCTCTTCTCGTACATGATCACCACTTAAGGACGCATAGTCCCATGTAATTAAGCCACTACGTAACTGTCCAATCAGATCAAGGTACTTTAAGTTAAAATCAATTCAGCAATTCCTAAAAGAGAAAATTAACATTGAGATATGCAAAATACTCAACATCATAGCTCATGTTACAATTGGCACTTGGACACCAACAGACAGTATTCTTTTGTCCATTTGATCCCGTTAATATTTAACTTAGTTATAGCACTACTGTTGTTCCAATACTTGAACGAATTTCCATATAAATAAAAGACAATTTCATCAGTATAGCTGCCTCTCCACTGTTTGCATACTTGACCTACTTCCCTCTAAGTTCCATTCCCAAAATAAAACTTCCCCTTGAACAGAACATTTTTTTCTTCCCCTAATTATATCAAGCTTCTTGATATCTTCTCAACTAAATATTCTATTTTTCACATTTCAAAACCTTATTTTTAACCCTCTTATTCCAACTCAAAATAATTTATTATACTCTAAGAGGATGTTTGGTAAGCTTAAGCACTAGTACTTTCTGGCTTATTTATGCATTTGGAAAATCCCACAAGTGCTTATAAGCCACAAGTTGGTCACCCCTAACTTATAGTCTTTTCAGTTTATAACCACTTCTGATCTGACCAAACTTTTTACTATTTTACCCACTTTTAAATACCAAAGTACCCTTCCTAAAAGAAAACCCCTACCTCCCTCGTCATTCAGTCATCCGTCCTTTTCCATGTAAAAATACTTTTACAATATATATAGGGCATTTCAGTCATCTTAAAAGAAAAAGTGATTATTATCAGTTACAGTACTTCTAATCAATCATGTAACCGCTTATTATAAATCAACTTTAGTATTTAATGCATATCAGCTAGTCTTAATTGACTAAACCAAACAGGCTCTAAATCTAATAGCTAGTTTAACCTTTTTTTTAATAATAGTGGCATCCAGATCAACATGCGCACTTCGAGTAAACAAAATAGTGTTTAACTTTGTCCACTAAGACTAAGGTAGAAAGGAAACAATCTAGTGTTTTTGTTCGTGGTCTCCCTTGATTTTCACCCACTTTATTGACCTCACACCCTTAGGTGTAAAAATAAAAAGAAGTTCACCTATTATGGGACAAGAGAATACTTCTTAGCAGTTATTTGAGGAGTTCTTTAGACATGGAATCTGAAGAGGAAGATATCCACCAGTGGAAAAGAACAGCAAATCAGAAACAAAATCATCCTCTGAATCATTAAAAAGACAATCAAGAATGGGAAAGGGAATTCCTATTAAGCAGCATGAAAAGAAGTTCAAATCCATTCATCAAGCGCAGTAAGATGCATTCAAACTGCATATAGTATATAAAAAAAAAACTCAGCAAAGCAATTGGAGTTCCAAACAGCTTTTGGCGACACGTCCAAAAGTCGCCAAAGCTAGACAATTTAAGACTGCCCAATATTGTAATAAAATCAGTCTCATCAATTCCAAATTCCGAGGGCTTAAAACAGCTTCTAAAGAGATTCAGAATAAAGGCCATAACTAGCTAGAGTAACAAGACAACTGAAAACCAATACCAGTACAGACTGATAGTCAGCCCTCTAGAAAACATGTAGCTGAATGCCGTTACAATTTTGAGTTTAACAGAAATTATTGACTGAATGTTTTAATTACCTCAGCAAATGATGTGCCAGAAATGGCTGTGCTGCATCATGTTCAAAATTGCATCAACTCCTACAAGTTAGTCAATTACAAATGGCAAGCTTCCCTGTCCATTCATCTGCAACCCCATAATCAATACTGATCTCCCTAAGAGGGGGGATATTCTCCATTGCAAAGAGCATCAGGTGGGGGAAAGATACAGTGTTGTGATCATAAAGCACGGGCTGCACCAACACGTTGGGGCTTGAACTGTGACTCATATAGCATGCTACATTCCTCATTCTAGACACATCCATCGCGAAATCCAGAGGAGGAATGGAGGGGTATGCTGGCCGCACATAGTCAGGATATATTTGGGACAAATCTCCCCATTCTGCCCACCTCTCAGGAAAGCGACTTGGATAGACTAAACTATCACCATTCATTGTAAAGATTTGGGCTTGCTCTCGTGTGAGTACGACCCCAGTAAATTCACAGATGAAGGACCCAGCTTGGATCAAGTCCAATGACCTAACTCCCCAACCAGTCTCTCTAGACCGAAACACTTCAAATCTGTGCCTCAAACCCTTTTGACTCACTCGATTCCGACAAGTTGGAGGACACTGACAATGTGGTCCACATTCAAACACTAATGGTTTACCTCTCACCAATATCCCATTATAATCATAAGCAAATTGGCCACCATTTCTCATAGCACAAAAACAATTATCCACACACCCATTAACGCACTCGCAGCCATTTCCACTGCCCACATTCTGGTACACATACGGAGGGAAAACAGTCTTCAACAGATAATCAAAATAAACAGGATCGTGATTATCATCGATATCGTTGAAAAGAAATACTGGCATGTTTTCTTTTTTCCTAGATATATCTAGACTAACATAACCCGTAGGCCTTGCCACCAAAGGTCTAAGCCTAAGATTCTGCGCAAACCTAAGAATGGCACTTCCCAACTCTTCCTGATTCTCAATCCTAACAAGCTTGTACTTATACACTCCAAATCCAGACTTTCCAACATCAAACCAACATTCAACAATTCTATACAATCCATCATACACATAAACTTTACCACTAGCACTACCTTCGTACTTAAAGCCGCGAATTACCCTTACCTCAATTCCATAGTGCATACTCCGCTCCAATGCCAAATTCCCACATTCCAGCTTCTGATGCATACATTGCCTCGACAACTTATCCTGTCCACCGTGCCCAGTATATATAATCACATCTCCACCATCCTGATCATCCTCGTATCCACCCGAAACAATCACACTCGTAGCAATCGGCTCCCTATTCGAGCTCTGACTCGCAGGGACATAATCAATGCCAGCTTGAACCTGCCCATGTAAACCAACAACACAAAGCTCCATCCTGAAAAAGAACACATCACCAATAAACACCCCCGGGATCGCCCCAACAATTCGCTTATCGCGATTCATCCACAACCCGTGTTCTCTTAAAACCTGACAAGCCTTTAAATCACCTCTAGTCTTCCTATGAGGCACCACACCCATGTTATTCTCATCGTCAGCCATCGCTAAAACACGCAACGAATCATACAGCATTCGGGTTCTCCTCACAGCATCGCGAAAATAACGTTGATCTTCAGGTTTAAGATCTGTAACCCTAACTAATTCGGATGACCTTTGTTGATATTTTCTTCTAGGAATTACCATTTCCGAAACCTGATTATCCTCATTATTAACCGGAACAATGGCACGTGAATTATCGAGGTCCATCTCGACGTCACGTGAATCGTCATTGTTAGGGTCAGCAACAATCTCAATATCTCCATAACGCTGCATTCTTTTAGCAAAAGCTTCACGAAACAGCTCAGAAATTCTGTTATACTCAGAATACACATTTGTTCCATCAGACCCAGATGGGTTTTGTTCAGGTGTAGTAATTAAGTTGTGTGATAGTGAATTAGGAGTGAAATTGCAGTTGAAATTGGGAGTATTAGGGTTGGAGAAAAGAGGTGGGGTTTGAAGATCAGCTTGAGTAAATTCATCAAGGGGTTCAAGTTTAGGTTCAATTTTGGGGGTAATTAACGGAGTTGGAGAATTAGAGGTTAAATTGGTGGATTCAGGTTGAAGATTAAGGTCTTGAAATGGGACAAGAGAACCCATTTTCTCTCTGTGTGTGTGTGGAGAATGAACAAAGAATTTTTATGGGTTTTTCTTAGGACATGAAAGGAGAGAAAAAGCTGTTTAGGGGTTTGAAGAGAGGTTGATAAAGAGAGGTTTTGTTCATGGAAATGGAAAAAAGGGACTTGGGGAGGAAGAAGAAGAAGAAGAAGAATAATAATTCATGAGTGGATTATGGCAATATGGACAAAATTACAAAAATATTGGGAGTAAATAAAAATAATACTAGGGACAAAATTTATATTTTTGTCATAAATTTAAATTTCATAACTGGTAGAAAAAATTTAATATTTGTGGACAAAAAAAGGATTGCGTTCACGCAACATTCGAGAAAGGGTCGCATTTTAACGGGTGTGATTTGACACTATAATCTAATATAAGTATTAGTGGTTACTTTCATAGTTTGAATCTGCAATCTATAGGCTATACAGATAACTTTTTTGAATCTAGAATTTAAAAATTTTAATTATTTCAGTTTAATTTTATCTCAACCATTTGATTAATTGGGTTTTGAAATGCATTATTTTTTTATAAGAATTAAGCTAAAGCTATTAGGTGTTGATGAACTCGTAATTTGTACTAAGTCCACCTCGAAAAGTGAGGAAATTATGGATGGGAAAATTCTTTGCTATTCGCATTTCACACCAATTAAATATATACATAATACTATGTATTTTAATATAAATAAAAAAAATTATGACCACACAAATTTTATAATATATTTAATGCTACGAGTTTTAAAAGTCTCGTATCATACAAATATTATGACCTATTCAAACTAGCAAATTTTTAAAATTTTTTTTTTTTTTTTAAATTATATTTCGAATCAATCTACTTCACATAAATTAGTGAATAAAGAATTATACAATATATATTCATACTTTAATTTAACTTCGAATATGGAATGAAATGTTGAATTTTATTTTTATGGTAAAATAGATACTATATCTTATAAAAATATTAAAGTTTTTGTAGAGTTTGACTGTACAAAAGCCAGTGGATTTAATACACATTTAGGCTCACAAAATGAGGTTTTTTAGAATTTAAAGTACAGCTTATGTAATGGAAGCAACGAGTGGGGAAGTACATGAAAAGATTTGTACGTTTGACCATTTGATTTGGTACAATAAGCATATAAGAATTCAACTATATGTAGATTTTGATGTACGTTGAGTTGGATTTAATATTTGTAATTTGTCATAATTACAAATCTTTGGTCTAAAAACCCAAGAATTAATGTTTTAGAAGCTTTTTGTGTTTTGAAAAAAAAGTTTTACCATTTCACTTAGAATAATATGACTTATTAAACACTTCATACGATAAAAACTTTTAAATAATTCCACAATGTTTTTGCTTAATTCTAAAAATAAGTACGATACAAGTAATTTTAAAATAAAAATAAAATCACTTCCAAAAGTAAATTAAGGACAATAATTGATTGAATTACAATGAATAGTTTTCTTTGGAGTGAATTTAGTTCAATTCCTTTATATCGATCAAATATTGAGAAATAATGCTTTCTTATTTTAATGTGAAATTGAATCATATTACAGATGTGTTTAATGTTAATACATGAATTTATTTGAAAAAAATTATCACACTAGAAACACGTGAATTTCACACATATCCTTGAGAAATGTGCTCGTCGAAAAATATTTCTGACAAATTTTCATCGAAAATTTCAGATTATTGATAATGTTCCAACAATAACAATCGTGAAGAATCTACAAATTTTTAGTATTAGTTGTTAAAGCTCTAAATAAATAAATAAAAATAGAAAAATGTCTTGACTATTTTATCTCGTCATGATGGATCTAGAGCGAATTTAATTGGTTCAACTGAATATAGTACTTTCAATTTGAATTATTTATACATTTATAAATAAAGTTTATTAATATAAAAAATAGGAACAATAAATTATATATTTATTTTGAATGTGCTGACTCTAAATGTTAAATTCGTCCTTGTTCAGAACAACCCAAAAAAGCCCACATATTCTATTTTCTCCCTTTCATCTGTTTTTCACATTCCTTTGAAAAAATTGATGAGGGTCCTATTTGTTTTCCCCTTAAAGTAGGCTTTGTTACACAAAGTATTATAAATCATTATATTTTTACTATTATAAATAATAAAAATTTAGAAATAAATATAAGAAGATAATATTGATATCATATAAAATGAAACAGATGAAAAGATAAAAAAGAGAACCCTACGCCAAAAGTGGTTGTTGTTTAGGTAGAAGGCAACTTTATATGGGACCCACAACTTCTTATATTTTTGTCCCCACAATGCACATGTTCCAAAAACATCTAGTTATAAATGTTAAAATTATATTTAATATTCACATCAAATCAATAAATATATATTTATTATATTTACTTATAATTTTATCATTTTTTCGTTTTAATTTACGTGATGATTTATGAATTTTGAGTGTCAAACAAATTAAATATTACTATAAATTCGAACATAAAATATTTAAGTTTTTGAATTAAAATTTATATATTTGAAAACTACGTAAAAAATTTATAATTCATAATAATTATAATTTAAATTATTTAAAAGACATGAAAAATAATTGTAAGAATACTCATTTGATTCACGAAATTCAGATACCTCCACATAAATTGAGATAAAAAAAGTATTATTTAACTATAGTAAGAGCTAAACATTTTGTTCCAAGAAGGGAAAAAAGGCTATGGCTATTGTGTTAATTCGATTTATAACACATAGCACTTTCGACTTTTCGGATTGAGGTAAAGAACGACGTGTCTGCTGATCTTATGTTCTAAAAGCCGGAAATTTCAAATTCTAATTTTGACAAAAAAAGCCGACTTTAAAATAAATAAAAAAAGCGGACTTTTCCCTCTTTTATTTGTTTCTAAATTTCCTTTTAAAAAATAATAAGAATATATTTGTATTTAGTTTCTTCTATTCAAATTATAAATAGACATAGAAATCATTTCCTCGTCTATCTTCCAAAGGTGAAAGACCCAATAGGTAAAGGTTCGAGGTTAATTTTCCTGTTATCAAGTATTAACTTATCCAAGGAATATGAACAATAAATTACACTCACTCAGAAAATGGAGAGAAAACTAGAAAATATAATCGTGCAAAAGTGATTGAATTTTCTTCTTATTGGAAATAAATGAGATATGCGTAACATCATAAAATGTGAGGGAGGTTAGGTGATAGAGCAAAATGAGAAAGAAGGTCTCTAAACTTAATCATAAATATTATCTTTCAACATAACACTAAACTTTATCAAAGTAGGCAACTGAGAATTTGGAATTTGAAATGTAATCCATCAATCTCAAATAGAATGGCTGAATGCTAATACGAGGACAATTCTAATTTTTTATGGGAATTCAATAATCAATTTCTTGCTTTTCTCTCTTGAAATAAAGTTACATATTTATATATTACATAAAATATAATACATCATAATTTGTTATGATTACAAATAAATGTAAACTTTGAAACAAGTATAAGAGATAATATTGACTTTAAATAATATTAATACTATCGTATAAAATAAAACTAATCCAAATTAAAAAGGGAATCCAAAGTGGTTGCTGTTTTGGTGAAAGGGACCATTATGGGACCCACAACCTCAACATGCTGTCCCACACAATGCACAGGTTTCGAGGGTCTCTAACAAAGTCATTATAAATTTACTGTTTACATCAAATCAATAAATATATAATATAAATATTATTATATGAGATTCATAATTTCAATTTGTTCCCCACAATGCACAGGTCCCAAGGAATATAACAAAGTCATTAAAGTAAGAAGTTGCACATATCTTTAGCATTGTTTGGTTTGAATGCACGTTATGTTGAGATTAATTATTCATTTTTATTGAACGTTTGGTATGTTATATTAATTTTGGGATTATCAATTTTACGATTTTATTCTGTGATAAATTATTATGTAAATTATTATCCTAACTTCTAACAGGTATAAATTATCTGCGTACTATTTTTAATCCTGAAAGTTATCCAAGGATTAGTTACCAAATAAGAAATAAAACAATACTAAATTTTATATCATGATTATTTTTGTTATCTCTCATACCACGCGACCCCTTAGTTATTACATCAAATAAAAAATATATGATATACTTTCACTGTTTTAAAACGGAAGACACATTTCGCTTATCTAGAGTCCAACTCTTTTTTATATCAAATTAAAAATGTACTATATACTTTCATTGTTTTAAACGGAAGACATATTTCGCTTATCGAGAGTCATACTTTGTGAAATTTGATCAACATTTTGAAAAGTATTTTTTTATCATATTAACATTTAAAAAAATACTATTTATAGTAGTTTTTGTATAGTTTATGAATATCTTAATCTAAATTTTAATTTTAAAATACTGAGTTGAACTAATCCAGCTTAGTTTTAAAATTTAATCAAATTGACTCTCGATAACCGAAATATTTGTTTGTAATTGAAACAAATGGAGCATTTAATTAAGATATACTTTCACTTTAATTATCATATACGATAGTATATTAATGTAATTTGTTATAAATGCTGAGTTGTATGTAAATTATTTCCTTAGGGAGTGCTTTTGGAGTTGGTTCAGTTTAGTATTTATAAAAGTCATTTTGGGAAGTTTATATGTTAGATTAGTATTTTTATTTTACAAAATCTAATTTGTAAGAGCTAAAAAGTGGCACTTTCGACATTTCCTGCCTCAATGTTTATAAAAGTAATTTTGGGAAGTTTATATATTAGATTAGTATTTTTTAAATTTTTAATTTTTAAAAATCTAATTTGTAAGAGCTAAAAAAGGACACTTTCGACATTTCCTGCCTCAATGTTTATAAAAGTAATTTTGGGAAGTTTATATATTAGATTAGTATTTTTAAAATTTTAAATTTTTACAAAATCAAGAGCTAAAAAAGGACACTTTCGACATTTCCTGCCTTAATGTAGAGAATGACATTCCTGCTGAGCTCAAGTTGTAAAAGCCCGGAATTGCAAATTCTGTTATTTGGAGAAAACAGTCACACACTTTGAATTTTCCGCCAAAGCCGGAAATTTTCAGTTACCCTCCAGTGAGTTTTTTCCCTTACGCGGCAATGGGCTTTTACCGGAGTAGTAAATAGTGTATACCCCGATTTATTATAAATCAAAATTCTT